ATTCTTCACTAAATGAACTGAAAGGTGACTCTGAAATCTGGTCCTTTGTGAGTAATGGCAGTGTGGGTAAAATTATGGAGTTGTGGATAGAATTAGAAGAAGTTGATGATAATGGAGATACAGATGAGGACCTCTCATATAGTGATTTTGCTTATAGTGAGAAGGACCTAGAAGACTTTTCAGGGGATGATGAAGATTCTGACCTAGGGGACTTCATATGTGAAGATGATGCTGATTTTGCTAAACACATTGATCCAACAACTGAATATGGAGGGCTGCACAGCAACAGTGAAAGACAGAACATAGAAAGTGAATCATTAGTGGTAGATCCTGATCCAAATTTGTCTGATGATGCTTCAATACATGATTCAGATTCTGATGCTGAAAACTGGAGTACATTTTGTGCCCAAACTGATATGGAAAACCCATCTTTTAAGCTTGGAATGACATTCAGTACCAAACATGAATTCATGCAGGCAGTTCAAAACCATGCTTTCAAGACTGGTAAAGATGTGAAGTTTGTAAAGAATGACAAGATAAGAGTTGTTGTGAAGTGAAAACACCTAGACTGCCCATGGAGGATCAATCTCAGAAAGGTAGTTGATGCTCACTCTTGGAGGATACTTGAGTACCAAAATAAGCATGATGGGTGCTCTTGGGTGTATCACAATAAAATGGTTAACTCAACCAAAGTTGCTAAGAGATGGTTGAAGGAGATTAAAAGTCACTCAAACTGGAAGACCAAAGAATTCAGACAAAAGGTGTGTACTGATGAACGATTCCATGTAAGTACAAGGCAGGATTACATAGCAATGAGCACTGCCAAAAGAAAGCTCATAGGTGAGGAGGATGCATACTTTAACAAGATCTGGTGTTATGTGGAAGAAATAGGAAGGACTAATCCACTAACCACATGCACTGTAAAACTCAGTGAAAACATAGAAGAGGGTGGGAAACAAAGGTTTTTGAGGATGTACTTGTGTTGGGAAGCATCTCGAGAAGGGTTCAAAAGTTGCAGACCAGTTTTAGGTTTGGATGGCACTCATCTTAAAACAATGACAGGTGGGCAGTTGCTAGTTGCAGTAGGGTTAGATGCAAACAATAGCATCTTTCCTTTGGCCTATGCTATTGTTGAGGGGGAAACAAAGGATTCATGGGCTTGGTTTTTGAACCTAGTAAGAAGGGATGCTGATATCAATGAAGAGAATGAACATGTATTCACATTGATGTCTGACAAGCAAAAAGGCCTCATCCAAGTTGTTATTGAATTATTTCCCATGGTTGAACATAGGTTCTGTGTTAGGCATCTACATGGGAATATGAAGGTGGCTGGATTTCCTGGAAAAGCTGTGAAAGATGCACTTTGGGACTGTGCCAGGGCTTGTACAGTGAATTCTTTCAAAACAAGTCTGACCAAGTTAAAGGAAATTGATGAAAAGGCTTTTGATTGGCTGGCAGATAAAAATCCTACAGAATGGTCCAAGTCTCATTTCTCTACACACTCCAAAACAGATATGTTAACTAATAATATATGTGAGTGTTTGAATGGGGTCATTTTAGAGGCAAGGCAAGAGGCTATTTTAGTATGTTTTGAAAGCATTAGGAAGCTACTGGTCACAAAATTTTGTACTAGTAGACAAAAGGCAGAGAAATGGACTACTAATTTGTGCCCTAGAATTGTGAAAAAGTTACAAGAAATTGAGAAGTTAGCTGCAGGTTTAATAGGGTATCAGTGTGGTGAGAATGACTTTGAGATTACTGGAATGAGTGGTACACATCATGGGGTTGATTTAGAGAGGAAAATATGCACATGCAGGCTGTGGGACTTAACTGGTATACCATGCAAGCATGTTGTGTGTGCTATTTGGTTGAAGTATGGAAGAGGTCCAGTTGATGCTTACGTGCACCCATGTTACACAAAAGAATCATATTTGAAGATATATGCTGGCAGTATAAAGCCAATGGCAGGCAAAGATGAGTGGCCTATTTCTGATAAAATTCCCCCACTTCCTCCTGTGTATTCAGCCAAGCCCGGAAGGCCAAAAAAACTGAGGAGGAAATCAGCCGTGGATCTAAGCAATGATGGAGTGAGAGTAGCAAGGACACACATCAAGATGCATTGTTCAAAGTGTAGAAAAGAAGGCCATAATGCAAGGAGGTGTCCTGAAGATCCAAATAACAAAGAGAAACTGGTAAATACACTCATGATTTATGTTATTTGTGTCATTTACTTATTTAGGACTTATATGTACTTCATCTTATTTTTCTTTAACCATTATATTTTTTCTACACACAACTTCAACCTAGAAAAAGAAAACCAAAATCTGCACCAAGGCATAGTGGAGGAAGTGTTGGTGAAAGTGCTGGTAATGAGGATGTGGGAGCACCCAAGGTTTCTGCTTTAGATGAGGATAACCTTATGGATATCAATATGCAATATGAAGACTTCCCATCTTTAGGACTTGAGTTTCCTATTGTTGTTTCAGTGGAAGATACTTCAATGTTCACTCAAGTGAGTGACCAAGAAGCTGAAAAACTAAGTGGCCAAGATGCTGAAAGAGAGACTGGAGAAGGGACTGAAACCCAAAGTCAGGATAGTGCTGCAAACCAGAGTGATGCTATTGATGAAAACAAGATTGATGATGTTGACAAAGACAACACCCATGGGTTTGAGGAAAGAAATACTCATGGGGTCAGGATAAGCTTTGGACCACCCCCTCCTTTGAAGACTTTCAGTTCAAAAGGTGCACAACCACAAGGGGTGAACTCAGGACATGGAAAACCAAAACTCAAAAAACTTGACATAAAAAAAAGGACCAACCTATTCTACCAGATCCAAAACGACCTTCAAGTCTGTTTTTTTTGGGAATGATGCAGACCCAATTGACCTTGGCTAGTGTTTGATGTCAATCATTTGGAAAGGACTGTAGGGGCTTCCATTTTGCTGTAGGTTTTATTGTAGTGTTTGTTGTACCATGAACTTCAGTGTAGTTATCACTATGTTTTTTGCCCACCAGGAGATATTACAGGTTGCTATGTGTAAATGGTGGTTGTTTTGGAAGTACAAAACATTTGCTATGACTGTAATTTTAGTGTGTCTATGTTTGTAATTCTGTTTGCCCACCAGGAGATATGACATGTTGTTTATGTTTATTTTCAATGGGATGATATACCAGTGTGTTTATGTTTGTAATTCAGTTCTTTTAGTGACCATAGTATATGTCTCAAGTTAAGTGTGTTTGTAGTGAACCATGTTTTCCAGTTTATAATGTAACACAACAGTTGTAACATTGAATATGCAAAAGAACTTCATATATACATGTCATCAACATGAACATTTGGCATCAATACATTTCAAAGATATTACCAACATTCCTCAAAATTGTTCGGAATACATAAAAACCATGCTACAAGACTATTTTCTATGTGCATACATGGATGCAAAAACCACAAAAAATGTTATAATGCACACGCCCAGTCTGCTGCAAGAGTATCTTTTGTGCTCTATCTTCTCCATCTTATCTTTTTTGTTTTCTGGTTTCTCAGCTGCTTCCAGCTTCATCTCCAATGTGTGAATGTGGTTTTCATACCCATTCAGTTTTCTTAACAACCCTGGAATGATTTTCTTGGATCTTTTACACATTGGAGGGTCAAACCAGTCCATCAAACCACACCCTTTAGACCAGTGCAATCACATAATACAAATACTTACAAAATCAATCATCTCAAAAAATATGGAAAATTTTAAAGCTGCACCATGCTACTAATACCTCATTTCCAGCGCATTTCCAAAATATTCTCCCATAGTTTTCTGGTTTCCATGTAGTCAAAAGCTTCAATTCTTTCCCACATTGACAATGTTTGACCAGAATCCACTCTCCATATTCATACCGGCCTGTTGATTTCGAGGTAGTTGAACTGCTGCTATACATGGTGGCCTTCGAGCTTACAGAGGTTGTCGTTGGAGTGAACAGGGAGGAGTGCCTACGAAGGAGGAAAACGACGGACTATAGATGGAGTTGTCGTTGGAGTGAACAGGGAGCTTACAGAGGTTGTCGTTGGAGATTTAGGTTTAAATGATGGATAATGTAAGGGGTATTCAAGAAGGGGTGGTTACGATACAGATGGAGTTGGCGAGGACGAAGTGAAGACCAGCCTATGAAATTACTAGACTAACCTTCCCTTTTTTAATAAATGATTCAACCGGCCGGAGTTTTGGTCGGAAGGACGACGGATGGTAAAGGAAGAAAACGTCGGGACTAAATGTGGACAAGTTGAAAGTCAGGTACGTAATGCGGAAGTGGTATAATACTCGAGGGACCAAAAGTGGAAAATTTTCGTAATAAAATTGGAAGGAGCGGATTTTTGAAGGAATTATAATTAAAATCACTTTGAGATATGACGAATTCAAATCATTGAGTTGATCTTCGTTTCTAATTTAGCTTAAATTATCATCTTGTTAATTATCCCCCAAAACCCTCCAAATTGGGGGAACTTAAAAATTAAGCATTTGGAGGGTTTCGAAGGGTTACAAAAGCCCTCCAAAACCACCCCCTCCAATTTTTTAAACTCTCAAACATGAGAAGAGGGTCATAAACCCCATTAACCTTCCTCTCCCCTCCAAAACCCAACCCCCAAACACACCCTAAGTGAATTGCTTATGAGTTACTCCCTCCGTCCCGGAATTATCTTCATTCTTTCCTTTTCGGTTCGTCCCAAATTTATCTCCCTTTTCCCTTTTTGGTAAAGAATATGTGGTTCACAACCATTCTTACACATTTCTCTCTCATCTTCATAACTCTTCACCACACAAATCCCACTATCTTAAAACCCGTGCCCGGTCAAAACCGGAGTTAAATATGGGACGGAGGGAGTATGATTTAAGTTTAAACTCTGACATGACAATAAAATCTTTAGCGGAAATTCATTATATTTAATAATTTTCCACTTGTACAAGGTTGTTTTTCTATAGCGGTGCAGCTTATATGGCACAAAATGCTGTTTGTTTTAAAGAATTCATAAACATGGGGTTTTCCAATTAGAGAAGCTATCAAAACCAAGGGCTAATTCTGTTAATTCATTCTCAAGAAATTCCAAATGCATGCACAAACAAACCTTTATAGTGAGTTATTCTTAAATGTTTGTGTAGCTAACCTTTCTGGAGTGCTTTGCAACCATATGTATTTACATGGCATAATCATTTCAATCAAGAACATCTATCTTGAATTCCAAGTTTCTCCATTTATCTAAAGGTAATTTACGTTTTCTTGGGGGGAAAGCATGTTGGATTAATTTTCCAATATTTTCATCTTTCGTTCAATCTGAATTGTGTGTTATGTGTGTGAAAATATGAACACTTTTCAGATTTATATGTATGTATGTATGTATCTGTGTTGTGAAGAGATTTATATATATATATATGTGTGTGTGTGTGTGTGTGTATGTATGTAGGATGAGTTATTCTCCTATGATTTCATATCAACAATTATTTTGGGACTTGCGCATTGCATACTAATTACAAATAAGATTAATTAATTACTTTAGTACCAAATGACCAATGAATTGGAGGGGAAGATGTTTGTTTTTATAATTAACTTTTTCGAGCATCACATTTGCTTTTTTAGCGCTTGTTACAACAAGGAGCGCATGACAGTGTTGAGAAATTAAAAACTCAACCGTTTGACATATGAAAGAGTTTATTCAACTAATCTCTTCTTTTTAAATATGGAGTATTATTTTGTGTTCAAAACTTTTTATCATATGTTTAGAGGGCAGGCAATGGTGCAAGGTGAGGAGAAGAAACTAAAACTCAACCAACCAATTATATCAGTAAGGCGAGGAGTTTCAGCGAAGAAGCTGGAAGCTGGGGCGCCACTTCTTCACCCACCTCTACTTAATAGATCAGAGTCCACCGTGAGGAGTCCAGGACTTGTTCCGTTTGTATGGGAAGATAGTCCTGGAAAACCCAAGTCTGTAAGAGATGACCAATGCTGCAGCAGCAGCAGCACCTTTGATAAAGCCGTCCGCAGGTTAAAAAGTTTCAACGGGGATGATGATGATGATGATGATGCTGAGCAACAAGTTATAGTGAGCAGCAGCAGCAGGCAGTATTGGGGGGATCATGTTGTTGATGCACCACTTCCCAAAACCACTTTTGTCTTCTTTAAGGGGTCAGACACTAGTAGGACCTGTTCACCGCCTGTTGCAGCTGCTACCAATTTCATGATTGGCTTATTCTTGCCACCGTCAACTAAAACAGTGTCCCTCACAAAACAAGGGGTGCTCCAAAAGCCTATGAACCGGGCAGGGAAGCAGGGAGGTAGGCTGCAACCGTCTAGTATTGATGCACTGTGTTACAGTTCTCATCGTGACCTTAAAGAAGAAGAAGAAGAAGAAGAAGAAGAAGAAGAAGAAGACGCAACTGATATTCCACCTAAAGCTTGTGGAGCACTGCCTCCATTTTGTGTTACAAGTTCTACTTTTATTATGGATCCCGTACCCGCAACTAGTTTAGAAAAGACTCAAGTGCTCCCCACGTCTCCGAGTAAAATGCACAGATACTCCACCGCTCGTTCTTGCATAAAAAGAGTAAATGATGATGCCAACGTGGTATGTTCCCCAATTCATATTTCATTGTTGTAAAAACCCACACCAATAACACTTTGTGGTTGAATCTTTAAAAGTCGACATGTTAAGATGAGTAACTCAATATTCGTCTCTACATTGTTTGCATTTCTCTTTTGGTTAGACGAGGGATGACGTTTGGAGCAATACTAGTTTAATTATACTACGTATGTTTTTCTCCCTTACTTCCACGACCGAGTTAACTTCGATTAATATCCACCTACATACAAGTATTAACTTTGATTAATATCCACCTACATAGTTACGTAATACATTAAATTTGTTTGTTGAACAAAATACTTTTACAGAGATGGATGGCTGGTTTAAGTAAGCAAAAGGCAGAAGTTCTTAGAAAAAGCAGATTTGCAGCAGGCAATGGGGTGGGGCTTCAGAGTAATAGCTCCTCAACGCAAGTTCAAGATTCAGAGAAATCTTCAATTACAAACAGAAGTTCTCAAATGACAAAGACAAAAGAACATGAAGGCCATGCAACAGCTAATTCTTTCCCAGATGAAGGAACCAACAAAAGAAAGCTGCCTGCTGCTGCTGCTGCTGTCAGAAATGTAGACACTAATAATGCTAGCAGCAGCTTTGATCTGATGCTGCTTACTGCTACTTCATCCGATCAAGGCCCGGCCATAAAACAGGAAGCAAGTAGGAAGCCAAGGCAGCGCCGGCATTCATCAGATAAAGATATGATGGTGAACTTTGTGTTTCCTGCTTCAGTTTCCTCGCCACTGCTGCCGCCTTTACCTCAATCTCCAACTGATTCTTGGCTCTCCCGCACTTTGCCTTTGTTGTCTGCTAAATCTGCACCTGCAACGCCTTCTCGCAAGACCCCCTTCTGATGATCTGATCGAGGTACACACTCATTAATTGACCTCATCCATTCCCCCGCACATAAACATTTCATTTACTACCACTGTACTATATACGAAGTATTAGCTTGTGCTTTGTTTGTGCAAGCTCAGATACAGATCAGAGCCCAACTTTTCCCTCATAAAGAATGGAGATTATATTCAGAAGCAGAATATATAATATCAGGACGCAAGCTAGTTCTTCAACAATGCAGGCCTTAGCACATGGATCACACTATGTATATTTTACTATATGGAGCTGTTTCTTGATTTAATGACGATCTAAGGTTTTTTATCCCAAAAGAAAATTAAAAGGACGGAAAAAAGGGTCTTTTGATCTGATTTTTTGTGTTTGCGCTGATATATGATATTTACACCAGACTTCTAGAGACCAAACAATTTCTTCGTTTCGTTAACTATATAAACATAGGAGTATGTTGAAGGAGAAAATGACTCAGAGGTCGAAGCTCAAGTATATACGGAATGAAAACACATAATCTTTTTTAAACAATATTCGACTTGAATGTTTGTTATGTAACTTATATAAATTGTAGTTTAAATTAGCCTAATAGAGTTATTAGATTTTGGTATATATGTCATATATAGGGAAAACTGTCAATATGTAATATATAGGGAAAACTGTCAATATGATTCTTGTACAATCACGAAAACGTCAATTAAGTCCTAGTACTTTTAAAAAATTCAATCAAATCTCTGAACTTTGAAAAAATTCAATTAAGTCAAGTAGATGGTTACCCGTCACGTCAGCATGTTACCTGCTGACGTGGCGCACAAGTGGAAGCCCGGAGTCATGTCACGTAAGTATTTTTACGGGCTAATTTGAGTTTGCACCCTATATTATTGTCTAAATTAGACTTTGCACCCTGTTTTTAAAAATCTTTGTTTCCGCACCTCAACCTCATATGAAAAGACTAAAATGCCCCTCCATTAACAATTATGTTGACCTTCAACATATTCCTGAATGAGGACATTTTTATCTTTTGATATGGGGATGAGGTGCAAAAACAAAGATTTTTAAAAATAGGGTGCAAAGTCCAATTTAGACAATAATATGGGGTGCAAACTCAAATTAGCCCTTTAAACCTATTTTTACTCATCAAATCTTACTCATTTTAAAGTTATTTTAACCTGGTGTGTGAATTATAAGTTATTTTTAAAATTTGGGAAAATAGTCAACATTATGCATCAAATCTTACTCATTTTAAGTTTAATCGTTTAGAGAGTGCTAACCCCCTTATCCCCGTCCCGGAGTATATAAGATTTTTGAAGTGCTTCTCGTATAACACTACTCCTACTATAACACCTACTCGCTCCTTCCCCCAAACTTTGGCTTCATCTCCGGCTTCCCAACTTTTGATTTCACACGTTGAATTGTGTAATAATAAGAAAAAGTAAGGTTGTAGTTACTTTTCTAGATGTATTGACTGAAATTATTGTAGATGATTAATTTAACTTTTTTATATAAGTCAGCAAAATCAACCAATCATGTCACTTCAACCAAAACTTCATAAATTTCAACAAAATCAACCAATCCAACCAATTTGGTTGCTAAATGTAAAAATACCAAATGGTCTGAAACCATCCCAGGTACCTGAGTGATATACTGGAGCCTATACACTTTGAAGATTCGAGCTTTTAACACCAAAGCTCGTTGAATTTCAATAACAATTGGTATATATTAAGACATGCAGTATTTAACGTTTCTCTCCCTAGTCGTCTAGGGCTTTTCCACCGTTTCATCGTTTATCGCTGGATTATTCTTGTCGTCTTTTGGCTTCGTCTGCGTCCGCATGGCAGAGGATATGGAAGACATGTATGCCCGTATGAGTTTGCATGATGATGAAGATGAAGGAGTGGATATTGATGAAATGGTACCGGACCTACCGTCAGAGATTCTACCACTTTGCATGGTTGGACTGCTTCTAACAGATAAGGCTATCAAATTTTCTTTCTTTCGTGATACTATGGCCGACGTATGGCGGCCGATGGGAGGGGTTAACATTAGGGAGATTGGAGATCATAGATTTCTTTTTCAGTTTTATAATGAGATGGGTATTGAGAGGATTCAAGTTGATGGACCGTGGTGCTATGAAAATGCTTTACTAATCCTACATAAATTGGAGGCATCCAAAAACCCTACTTGCGTACCTCTGTCCCGAACGCAATTCTGGGTGCAGGCGTATAACTTATCTCTAGATCTGTTTACGGAGGAAGTAGCCAAAGTAATTGGAAATCAAGTGGGCCTGTTTAATAAGGCGGATGCAAATAACTTCAAGAGAGGTTGGAAGGAGTTTATGCGTGTCCGAGTCTCTATTGACGTCAGGCCTCCTCTGAAACAACAAGTTAAACTGAAACGCCGAGGGGAACCTCTATGGGTTGAACTGAAGTACGAACGTTTGCCCCATTTTTGCTTCATTTGTGGTCTAATGAACCATATCGATCGTATGTGCCCCAGGAGATTTGAATTTGCAGAAGGGGGGAAGGAGAAACTATACGGGTCTTGGTTGAAAGCTGGCTACAGGAGGGATATCTCTAGTAAAGCGAGTAAATGGCTGGTGGATGGGGAGGGAAATTTCCTTTTTGCAAAACCTGCACCGATAGAAACTGTGGCTACGTCGAGTGCAAGGGAATTGGCGGTAGATGTTTATGACCTTGGTGAAGGAGGTGTGACGAAAAAACGGAAGGCAGATGGGTCATCCTCTATGGGTGAAGCTACTGGAGATCAAAACATGGATATCACTAACCGGGCTAAACTTGCAAGTGTACAAGTGGCGATATAGTAATAAATTCCGGTAAAATACCGGGTCGAATCCACAAGGAAACGTTGTTTAATTCAAGTCCGAGAGTAGATAAGACCCGTTACAGCTTACATCCATCTACCGAAAACCCCGTTGAATATCAAGACATCACACCCGTATCATATAAGACCGGATATATTTCTATTCTCGGTACTATATATATTTATCCTTTAATGTTCATAGTTTAGACTTCAACGTTAATTGCAAGTATAAACTAAATTTAACATACTTCTATGTTGTACACCATAGTCATAAACAATCAATATATAAAGGATAAATCACAATTTATTGGTTTAGAACTTTTATCGAACACCTAGTGGGCATAGAAGTTCATCCCTAGCCTTAGCTAAGAAATTAGCCTCTAATGCTCATATTAATCACAATACAATAATAAATGTAATGGAACATGAAATTACAAAGGAAATAATACCTAAACATCGATGATTTCGGAGGATGAACTTCCCTCCTCAAGAACTTGAAGAAAATACCAAGAACAAAAATATAAAAGCTAAGAATTAATCTATGGAATGGAATGTGTTTGTATGATGAATTGAGGGCTTTATATAGGCTAAAGAATGACATCTTTTAGTCTATTCGAACCCAATAATGAGGTATGGAAGCAATATTTGATTAGCATTGAGGAAGATGGGGTTTTCCCATCAAGAATCAGCTTGCACGATGCTGTTTTTTAGCAAAAAATCGACCCAACCGGCGCCGGTTGGTCAGATGACCGGCCCCGGTTGAAAACAGGCTCATTTGTGCGAGAAAATACTTTCAGACCGGCGCCGGTTCAAGACCGACCGGCGCCGGTTGCTGTGCCCAAAAATGTACTTCGTTTCTCTTCCTCCGAAATGGATAAAAAAATGTCGGTTTTGATACCGAGAATTTGGAGATGTTCCACTAAGAATTTGGACATGATTCCTTCACCAAAGTTGTAGATAATAAAGTCTTCTATCCAAAAAAACTTGAATGACGTGATTTTATTCATCCAATCAACAGATATGGATAAAACACTGAGAGGTATGCATCCTGAAATCCCACCAGCAACATCTGACTTTATCGGTTGATTGAGTATTGTTCCTTTCCTATTCTGACCATGATTTCTTCATAACATTTGTACCTTATTGAGTTATAATTCAAATGAAATTCGAATGGAGTTATTTCGAGTTCTCTACAATACGTTATACTCAAATGATGGGCAAAACATCATCCTTTTGGTCCCAAAAGCCGTTCATCACAATGTTTTATGATCTAACTCTCATTCTCAAGATATTTTCCCTGTTTCTCTTCTTTTATTCAACAAATACTTTTAAATACTTATTTTAAACACAAGTAAATATAACGGCTATCAATCACTTTTTCAAAAAATGGGGAATCGGCGGGTTCTGGCCTCCAGACCCTCCGGGAACAATGAGTTGCATTAGTTGGAACTGTCGGGGGCTTGGCAACCTGGCGACAGTTCAAGCATTGGTGGATATGGTCCACTTGAAGAGGCCGTCGTTAGTATTCTTGATGAAAACTTTTACTATTTTAAACAAGGTGGAAACTATAAAAATGAAGTTGGGGATGTCTTATTGCTTAGTGGTTGATTGTGTGGGTCACCGTGGTGGTTTAGCTCTTTTGTGGGGAGAGGGTATGGAAGTTCAACTCCTGGGCTCAACTAGCAACTTCATTGATGTCAAAATTAGGTTGGAAACGGAAGTTAACATTATGCATCAAATCTTACTCATTTTAAGTTATTTTTACATGTTGTGTGAATTATAAGTTATTTTCAAAATTTGGGAATATAGTCAACATTATGCATCAAATCTTACTCATTTTAAGTTTAATCGTTTAGATAGTGCTACCCCCTATCTCCGTCCCTGAGTATATAAGATTTTTGAACTGCTTCTCGTATAACACTACTCCTACTATAACACCTACTCGCTCCTTCCCCCAAACTTTGGCTTCATTTCCGGCTGCTCTCAATCAAGGTCACGCACTCACGCTCTTGGGACTCCTACCATGAAGACTTCACAGCCAGTTGATATTGCTCTATTCCACTTCTTATCCACTATTAAATTAACTTTGCTCCCCCATTTAAATTTCATCTATTTCTCCTCTAACCATGAAGAGAAGAAAACGTTGTGCAGGTATATACACTTCTCGACATAACTCCTCTTCTCTTTCATGTGAATAATCAAATCACATTGACATATGTGGTCATACTCATACACTCATACATCATATACAAGAATACCAACTAGGAGTGGGCACAGTTGGTTAACCGCATTTTTGGTTAACCAACTTATGGTTAACCGAGATATCGGTTAGCATGTTTATAACATCAATAACCGTACCATAACGATGGTTAACCGGGTAACTTTTACCATAATATAGGTTAACCGTTAATTGGTTAACCAAAAAAACATTTTAGAAAAACTATTTTCAGCCATATCTTCCCCGTCGTATTCATTCACGAGTTATTTCTCATAGTCCGAAGGATTCCTCCATTCCTAATTTCCTTCAGCCTCTCTTCTACAT